ACTTATTCTCCCTGAATTGACCTCAGTGGGAAATAAAAATACATGCAATTTTTAGTTTCCCCAAGGCTCCTAATTTATTTATTAGTTTACAAAGTTGTTAATGTAAATACTTAAATTCCTTATGCTTGGTTTTAGATCAGATTAAGTTTTTATTCACTGTAATATTTAAAAGTATGTAAATATAAACTTAGGTCTTCTATTAAGTTGAGTCATAATTTAAACATACAGTGTCTATAAATGTGGTTCTTGTAAACCTCAGATAATATTCCATTTATGTGGATTGATAGTTTCCCCATTTACATTATGTGGGTTCAGTTTTATGATGTTCTTAAATTGTTTTAATGAATTGTGATTTCACTGCCCTTTAAAGGAGCCATGCAGGAGGCATGGTAGTTAAGGCGCTGGACTCCCACATGGCTGACTATGGTTCAAGTCCTGGACCTGGTGTCTTGAAAATTATGTCTGGCACATGTGTGTGCATGCCCAGAATCCTAGGAGAAAAATGGAGGAGACAGGATCGCACTGTGGCCATCCTCCCTAGGGGGTGATTTCTCACTTTCCCTTTCTCTCTCACTGGTGAGCATGTGTGCCCTATGGCAAAAATCTTTTAAAAATAATCTAGTGAACTTAAATATGTTTTCTAAATCTCATTGATTTAAGATCTTTAGAAGAATTCAATTGGGTAGAAATCTTCATTTTTCTTGATACTTCTAAAGAAACTAATTTGGAGAGGTAGAGGAAAAATAAAGTCTGTAGTTACCACATAGTCCTCATTTTTTTTTCTAAATTTTTTTTTTTTTTTTTTGGAGAGATTTTCACTATAGGGCGCGTGCGCTCGCCAGACAGACAGAGAGAGACATTAGAGTCAGAAAGCAAGAACTCACCCCCCAGGGGGGATGGTCACGACGCAATCCCTTCTCCTCCATTCTCCTCTCGGGATCCTGGGCACGCACGCACACGCGCCCGGCGTGAGTTTTAAGCCACCGGGTCCGGGACGCAAACCGCGGTCGACTACGTGGGAGTCCAGCGACATAGCCTTTACACTAACTGCTGGTTCCCACATAGTCCTCATTTTAAAAACAGCTTTAAGCTCTAACAAACCAAACCAAAATGGAATCACTCATGCTAAAAGCAATATCACTAAATTGAAACTTTTTTTTTTTTGAGAGATGTTTTCTATAGGGCATGTGTGCTCACTGGAGAGACAGAGGGAGACAGAAAATGAAAAATAACACCCCCCCCCAAGGGGGACTGTCATGATGCAATCCCTTCTCCTCCATTCTCCTCTTGGCACTTTGGGCACGCATGCACACGCACCCAGCATGAATTTTAAGCCACCAGGTCCGGGACTTGAACCACTGTTGACTACTTGGGAGTCCAGTGACGTAACCATTATGCCATCTGCTGGTCCCTAAACTGAAACTTTAAGGAAGCTGGTAGATTAAAAAAATAGATGAGTGTTTCCTGAAACCAAGAGATTCCAGACTGAGTCAGTGCTACAAGGAAATAAAACATATGCACATCTTGTGGCTGTTTAGGAATGCACCTGAAATTGCTCTAGATACTACATAGACTCATTGAACTTTTTTGTTCAACATCCTTATTGCTCAATATGTTACTTTACCATCAAGAGTCACTGTCTCCACATATTGCTTAAAGTTAAACAAAGTGACTAGTAGAATGGCCCCATGGTCATAGAATTCAGATGATTTTGCTATATAAAACTCCTTGCTAATACTCTTCTTTTTTAAGAATTTTTGCTATAGGGCACATGTACTGACCAGAGAGACACAGACAGAAAACAAGAAATCACACCTGGAGGGGATGGCCACACCACAATCCCTTCTCTGCCATTCTCTCCTTGGGATTTTGGGCATGCGTGCACACGAGCCCCGTATGAGTTTCAAGCCACCTGGTCTGGGACTTGAATGGTGATGGGCCACATGGGAGTCCAGTGCCTTAATAACTATACCACCTGCTGGCCCCTTTCTCCTTCTATTCATGACTTTTGTCTTTAAAATTATCCTAAAATCTGTAAGGCTCTGGTACACATTAATTGAGACAACTTGGCTTTTGTGGTGTCTTAGCTCTGGTCCAAAGGAATTCTTTTGCTTTGCTTACTTTGCTTCAGACTTTCTTTTTAGTCTGACAGTATTATTGACAAAAATGAGTTTGTTCTTCTAGTCACTTAAGGAAATATACAAATTAAATTATGACATACATGGTCTTAAAACATTGCTTGGTAAGATATCTTATGTTTTAAACGTTAAAACTTTTAAGTTTAAATAATGTTATCCTTCAGTCATTGTTTGGTTAAATATATGTTCTCTATATATGCATGTGTACATATCAAGATATATTAAAACAAGTGAAAAAAGAAATCTGAATTAAATAAAGGAGAAGGGATTGATAGATCAGAGAAAATACAGTTGAACTCAGGATATGTAGTATATTCTCAAAATGAACTAGTAAAATTTTTTTGCTTTCTATGTGTCTTGTACAGGTGGCAGACTTTCCCTCCTTCATCAAATATGTTCTCTCTCTCTCTCTTTTTAAAATTTTCTAGGCAGGGAGCAGCAGGTGGCATGATGGCTAGGGGCACTGGACTCCCGTAAGGCCAACCATGGTTCGAGTCCTGGACCTGGGACCTTGCTCTCTCACTTTACCCACCCCCACCCACCCCCCACCCCCCCGTCCTTCTCTGGTCAAATTAAAAATAAATAAATAAATTTTAAAAGTTAATGAAATAATTCTTTTTTTTTTTCCTAGAGGGTTTATGTGCTTGCTGGAGAGAAAGAGAGAAAGTGCAAGAAGGACCCTCCCATGAGGCACAGTCACTTCACAATTCCATTTCCTCCATCTTGCCCCCCTTTTTGGGATTTGGGGCACACATGCACACACACCAAGTGTGAGTTTCAAGCCACTGGGTCTGAGACGCGAACCATGGTTAGCCATGTGCTAGTCTAGCGCCACAATCACTATTCTACCTGCTGACCCCTCGACCCATTTCTTCATTGTGACAATTTTTAGGAAGTTCCTGGGAGTGTCTTAAAATTACTTAGACAGTTCCGGACCCACTGTGCCTTTGATCTCATCACTTAAGTCCCAGAGTTTTTCTACAACTTCTATGGCTGTTACAAGGAATTCCACATAGAAACAATAGCTAAAATTTTCCAGTGATGGGGGTGGGGCTAGGGGCGGCAGGTGGTATAGTGGTTAAGGTGCTGGACTCCCACATGGCCCACCACAGTTCGAGTCCCAGAGCTGGTGACTTGAATATCATGCGTGCATGTGCACCCAGGCTCAAAATCTGAGAGGAGAATGGAGAAAGGATTGCAGCATGGGCCATCCTCCCTGGGGGGTGATTTCTCACTTTTCCTCTCTCTCTCTCTCTCTGGTGCCTGCATGTGCCCTTTGGTGGAAAAAAAAAAAAAAAAAACTAAAAAAAGTATCCGATGAGAAGCATTCAATTTTCTTATTGCTCTTGCTTTGGACTTCACCAGTTTATTTCTAAAAACCAGATCATAATTTTCCATCCCTCTCTCAATCTCTAGCAAAATTTTGCTTATTTTTTAAATCAGGAAATAAGTCCTTATTTGAGACATCTCACAACACAGAAAGTCTGAGCAAAATCACTCATCTTTTTTTGTTCTTCAGTTTATTGGTATCATCAATGGCGTTGACAATAGGAAAATCTTGTGGCTTGATATTTGCTTTATTCTTTTACAGAACTCTATGGGTTAGCTATTGAATCTCACTTACAAGGTAAAGAGTGTTCTCTTTCAATGATTGATACCAAAACTTAAGACTGTATCTAGGTGCTTTTGACTAAGAGCCCAAAGACACATAGTAATGACTAAATGATCATATATATATATATATATATATATATATATATATATATATACACAAAAGCCATAAAGGTTTTAAATTGCTTGTTCACATACCACAAGGCACCAAGGGCAAACTTTCAAGGACTTCCCTTGAGACAATGTGTATAATATTAGAATAGCTGAATATTAAGTTCTCCTTGGTCTTCAAAGATGGAGACTACCCAGTCTTGCAGAAGTGATGGTTCTCTGTTTCATCGCTGCAGAGGGAAAATGCAGTGGTACCCGCCTTCCACACAGTGACCAGTGTTCCTGGGTCATGAGGTTGCCGACATTTCCATCCCTGTCTCATAAACACGCAATCTCTTTGTACCTCTTTATTTCTGCCAACTGTAACTCTCTCTTGGGTTCACTAAAAAAGTCGTACTTGCAGAATATAATGCAATATTGTTCCCAGTGAAGCTTGTAATTTGAACAAAGTCTCTATAGGTTTCCCTCATCCTGTGGAAGTAATGGCAGCTCTGCAAGGTTGTAAGTTCCCCTGCCATGTTCTTTAGGCTCAGCATTGATGAATTCATTACCAAACAAAAATATTATTATTATTTTAAAGAATTATTCATTTATTTAATTTTATTTGTTATTATTATTTTTTAATTTCACTAGAGAAAGAGAAAGAGAGAAAGGGATAGTGAGAAAGCAAGTCTTCAGGACTGGGACTAGAGCCACGGTCAGCCATGTGGGAGTCCAGCATCTTAACCGCTATGCCACCTGTCAACCCCTATTATTATTCTTTTTTAAATTTTGTTTTAGGACATGTGTGCTCATGAGAGAGAGACAGAGACAGACAGAAAGTGAGAAAGCATTCCCCCTAAGGGGGATGGCCACACCACAATCACTTCTCCTCCACTCTCTTCTTGGAATTTTAGGATTGCGCACACACGTCTGGCATGTTTTTCAAGCCACCTGGTGAAGGACTCTGACCATGCAGTAGTTCAACCCTCTGTGGGATCCAGCACCTTAACCATCATGCCACTTGGCTGGCCACCAAATAAAAAGAGTCTATCACATAATTCAGCCAGACGAGTTTGTCTAAACACCTAGAAGAGCGCAACACCTCAGGAACATGGACCACGGCCAGTTTCAGCAGTTTCAGAGGGCCTCTCTTCTTACCTCTCTCAGTGCCCTGGCTGTTCCTCCCACTCTGCTTTTGCCACCGGGATCACCTTGTTCTCCTGCATTGCCTGCCTTGAGTACCACTCTGCTTTTGCCACCGGGATCACCTTGTTCTCCTGCATTGCCTTTTGAGCCTTGAGTACATTTCTCTGAAAGCTTCTTCATGATCCTCTGAATGACTCAAATATTCTTCTAGGTGATGTGTGCATCTGTGCCCCAAATCCTCATGGGATGGAAAAATGGAGGAGAAATGACTGTGATTTGGCCATACCTTACTGAAGACCTCTTTCTCTTGAGCACACACACCCTTTAACAATTAAAATTATACACACACACACATAGTAGTGTAGCGATGCTGGAAGAAACTGCTCATATTTAGCAATGACACTTACGGAACGCTGGGTAATTTGCAACCATTATTAATAAATAACAAAAGTTCTCACATGGCTATTACAGAGTAGTGCATACTGGGAAAAGAAATCTGGTCTAAAGAGCTCATGCATCTTCTGCAAATTTAAGTTTAAGGTGACGTGTCACTGCCTGGCAGCAGAGAGGGGCGCTGTGAATGTCAAACATTACCTGCCTCATAGTTTGTCTGTTAAAAATGCTCTTTTAAAAACATTTAAAAAGCACTCTTTAGTCTCTTTCTATATTGTAAGTGTTAAATTTGAATCTCTCTTCCTCCTCTGAATAATCATTAAGTTTCCAGCACTTGTCCCTGAGATTGTAAATCCTACTCCTTGTTGGTGAAATCAATTTCTACAAGGAGAAAACGTCCCCTCTTCCCGTGCTGTCTGCTAGGAAAGCAGATAATACTGTTTGAGAAAACTGCTCTTTGTTAATGCTCACAAAGAAGTTGTACAAAACACCCAGATTTCAAAGTTCCTTTTATGCTCTGCGAAATTGGCCTGACCCTCCACAAGGTCTATAATTACAACTGGTTGTCATATTTCTTACATTTGTCATATTTTATCTTTTCTCAAGGATAAAATACCAGAAGGATCTTACACTCCTCCTATAAACACAGATTATCTAATCCCAAAGTTGAACTTTTAAAAAATAACAAAGGCTATAAAGAAAATATTGTCACAACATTCCCTAAAGATTCTTTCTACTGCCCTCTACCCTACTCTCTGTGAAGAAAATACACTTCGTTCAGATAAATCTCTGTGCCTGTCTTTGTTCTCAGGAGCTGCATGCCCTTGAGCAAGTTAGCACCCCCCTGTCAATGTCCATTCCCACATCCTGTCCATAATGACTTCTCAGTCTGTTGAGAACAGTGCCTGACACACAGCAGCTCCTGGCTCACCTTCCTTCTTTCCCTCGCTGCCTTCTCCCTTCAGTTCCGTCCCAGCTCTATGGCCTCTACCGCAGTGCCTAGCATGGAAGTGCCCCATGACTTTCATGGCCAGAGGGCAAGGGCAGTTTATCATTTATAGTTTTTTCTTTAAACACACACCCTCTTTTCAGAACCAGCCTGTGGCATGGTTCCCCCACTCTGTGATGCTGGAGCCATGCAGGAAACCATGGGTTTGCTTCCTCGGTTGATGGCTACGCACAAGAGCCTTGCTGCCTGGGAAAGCTGGGGAGGGTTTGCAAAGTGAGACTCTGCAGGGTGCCTCTCTCTCTCTCTCCCTTTCACTGATGTGAAAGGAAGAAACTGAAAAGAAAAACGTTTCCATTTTTATCTGTGTATTGCACAACAGGACAAAAGAGTTTTTTTGGATGTTGGTAAAGTTTATTGTCTTCACCTTTATTGAGGTATAATTAACAAAAATTTATATATTTAAGATGTACAACTAGGTATTTTGATACATGTATGCATTATGAAAGGATTACTACAGTTAAGCTAATTAATGTATCCATCACCCCACATAGTTATCATTTTCGTTCCTTCCATTTTTTTTTCATGATGAAGACTTCATAAATCAGGGATGGCTGTGAACATATATATTGGAGTCACTGTGCCTAGCACTTTGTAGAGAGAGAGGGAAAGTGAGACCACACCCCCTAGAAGGGATGGTCATGCCATAATCCCTTCTCCTCCAATCTCCTCCTGGGATCTTGGGCAAGCACACACATGCTCCCTGTGTGAGTTCGAAGCCTCCAAGTCTGGGACTCGAGCCATGGTTGACCATGTGGGAATCCAGTGGCATAATCGCTTTGCCATCTACTGGCCCTCATATTTTTGTACTTAATAATATAGTATGGAATATAATAATAATACTTAATAATATAGTATGGAAGTATACAGAACAATCATCAGAAATAGAAGAATAGATTAATCCAATTTAAAGTGGGAGATTTAAAAACATTCCTCTGAGGGACGGTGTAGACGATACAATCAGAAAGTATCAATTAATAAGACTGTGCTAAGATATACTTATAGAACATTGCATTCAAATAATATTAACTCTTTTCAAATACAGACAGAACATTCATAAAGTATATCTACACACTGAATGAGATGGAAGATCTCAACACACATTAATGGATTAATAACAGGACATTTCTGCCTTTTTAATTTATTAATTTTTTATTGTTAATTGACAGATTATAGTTGCACTTAAAGAATCTCTATTTTCTGAGTATGTTGTAAGCAGAGATTAGGGAGAATTTTATTCGCTTTCCTTATTCATCTATATGGCTTTTCGGAAGGTTATAGACATACCAAAATTTTGGTGGCTAAGAAAGAAACCTTTAAAGCATTTGAAATTTTCCAATTTACATTGACTAGAAACAATAGCACTCTATTAGGAACACGTTTAGGTGCTAGATTTTGGTCTCCAAGTAACTCTTCAATAAAAAGAACCAGAGCTATTTAGAGAGATGGCTGGATCCTGATCTGGTATTGGGAACTTACAAGGTCAATATGGGAGATTTTCTTGAAAAGAAATTAAGAATGCTTTTAAAAAAGAATAAATCATATAAAAGGACACACAATATATCTAGAGGAAATATCTACTTGATAAAGTTATTACAATTTGAGCATCAAAAATAATGTCATATTATGGATTGAAATATATTGAATCAATAAAAAAAAAATGACTGCTTAATGATGCCTAGAGGAACTCATATGTTGCCACTGGAGGCAGCCCTAAGCAAACTTATTTTGAAAACCAATTATTTTATTAAGAATTATTTTATTTGGGGCCAGTAGGTAATGTAGTTGTTAAGGCACTGGATTCCCACTTGGTCAACAGTGATTCAAGTTCTGGAACCCATTGGCTTGAAACTCACGCTGGGCATGCGTACATGTGTGCCCGAAATCCCGAGAAGAGAATGGAGGAGAAAGGATTGTGGCACAGCCATCCTCTCTGGGGTTGGGGAATAAGGGTGGGGGTGATTTCTCACTTTCTGTCTCTCTGTCTCTTCATCCTATAGCAAAAATCTCTCTCAAAAATTATTTTATTTAATTTTATTTGTTATCATAACCACCACGTCACCTGCTGGTCCCAAAAACTGGGTATTAATGTGAAAGAATTAGCATTGATACTGCCTCTTTAGTGAGAACTGTTTCTAGTAACCCAATAGTTCTAGCTGATGACAGCAACTTCTATTTTATTGAACTGTATCTTACAACTCCTCAAGGACGTCTTGGCTATGGACAACCAGAGGGTGTAGTGGTTACATCACTGGACTCCCACATGGCCATCCATGGTTTGAGTCCTGGACTGAGTGGCTTCAGGATCATGCCAGGAGCATGTGCACACATCCCCAAGATCCCAGGAGGAGAATGGAGGAGAGTGCATTGCTGCATGGTCATCTCCTGCCAGGAGGCGATACATCCCCAACTCTATCACTGTCTCTGTCTCTCTCTCTCTGGCGAGTGCATGCCCCCTAAAGCAAAAAACTCTTTAAAAAAGAAAAAAAAAAGAAAAAAAAGAATGTATTGGCTCAGGGAAGAACTATAATTTGTATTAAAACCATTAAACGGGGACCAGCAGTTAGTCTAATGGCTATGTCGCTGGACTCCCATGTAGTCGACTGGGGGTCGAGTCCCGGACCCAGTGGTTTCAATTGCATGTGCATACCTGCCCAAGATCCCGAGAGGAAAATGGAGAAGAAGGGATTGCGGCGTGGCCATCCCCCTAGGGGGAATTTCTCACTTTCTGTCTCTCTGTCTCTCTCTGGCAAGCACACATGCTCTACAGTAAAAATCTCTCAAAAAAAATGTTAATTCTGGCATACTAATGTGTTTTATTATCTCATTTTGCTTATCTGAATTTTTAATATACAATGAAATATACTACTCTTGCAATACTATTAATTTAAAATAAGTTAAGTATTACATTTTAGGTGTTAAAAAGAACAAACATAGATCTAGAGAAACAAAGGGAAACAGTATAATTAAGTTCAGGCATAATATAAATTGATGAAACAAAAGTAAACTACAATAACAACAAACACCTTAAAATAGAATAACAAGGGGCAAGCAGTTAGCATGGTGGTTAAGGCACTGGACTCTCACATGGCTGACCATGTTTCGAGTCCTGGACCTGACAGATTGAAAATTACACTGGGCACATGTGCACGCATGCCCAAAATCCCAGGAGGAGAATGGAGGAGAAGGGATTGCAGCATGGGCATTCACTCTGAGGTGTGATTTCTCACTTTCCCTCTCATTGTCTCTCTCTGTCTCTCTCTTCTCCTTAAAAACAAAACAAACAAGAAAACAATATCTTAACTCTTATAATGATAAATAAGATAAATAGATTTCTGGTCATCTTATTCAGATCAAAATAAAGGTGAAATAATTAAAAACAATTAAAAAGCTGAAAATAATCAGAAACAAAATAGAGATTAAGTATAATGAAACTCTGTATAATAAATTTGAAAAATACTTCAAAGAAAACCAAGCCATCAAGAGTAGCTCTGGAAGAAATGCAGACCCGAAATAGTCAACCAAGCATGAAGACATTGAAATGGTACTTAGAGTCTACCTTCCCACCACCAAGTCTCAGACTTAATGTATTAACTCTGGATTCTGGTTTGTTTGGTTTAGACTAGGCTTTGGTCATGAACTTTTGCCCTGGCATTATTATTAATAATGCCCTCTCCCTTTATTCTCAAATGTGTCCTAGTTACATAAATTATAAACGAGTTGTGTGATCACCTTAGAGCTAGCAAACCTAGAAAGAACAGTTCATTCCTATATTACACAAATTGTTCCAGAAAATAGAGGAAACGTAAAAGCTGCCCAAATGATTTTAAGAGATTAATATTGTTTTGATTTCAAAGCCAGGTAAGAACAATAAAGAACAGAAAACAATAAGCCACATTTCCT